TTATAGAATTTAAAACAAATATTAACATTCATAAATTATTTATTAATTTAATAATTTTTGTTTGAGACCGAAAAAGTTTATAAAAAATTCATAAAATAGTAGTAGCCTCTATAAGTAATTCCTACACTACTATTTTACTTAACATTTCTATAAAAATAGTAGTTTTACTGCGCACAATATTTATAAAATACAAATAGTATTAATGTATTATTATTAATTAGTACAGTTTATATTATTAATATATTTCTTAATTTTTTTCCACTTCAGGATTTGAGAAAGTAAAAGTAGTGACATTTAGTTAGTTCATGAAAATAGTAATTGCTGCTAAAATGAATTTCCACAACAAATGGAAGCCCGATAAACTGTGGGCAATTTAGGCTAACTCGCGGTACAAATTGCCACTGTAATAGTTGGGTAATAACAAGGCCAGCCATATTCAATTACTGAACAATAGCTCCAGCAGTTAATTCTATGGAATTTTGTAAAATTCTAATATGAATATACAATAAGCCAATTGAGAATTTACTGAAATATAGTTGACCAATAATTTCGATTTACCTCTTCATTTTATTTCTAAATTTTATTGTAATTCCCTAAGTGAAAGCAATAATAGGAAAGACTAACTCCTCGTCTATAATTATGTTTTCATTATGAAAAATATGTAATTAATTTGATGACTCCAGCCCAATCTTAATTAAGCTGGCGAGTCAACAATAAATATTTGTGAGGCAATCGAACTCCAATTTCAAACCCAAAGTCCTTCACAATGAACTCGGTTTTCATTGAAAGCCCCCCAAAAAAGATTTGGATAATTATAGATCTGATCGTAGTGTAGTAAAGCAATAATTGCCCACAGCTGACCTCATTTGAAGGGCGTTGATGAGCATTGACCATTGAACCTCAAAGAGCTGAAAATCCAAATACTAACTACAAATCACCTGAATTTAGTTTTTAACGCAATCACATTAAAATCTAAGGTTAATGACTGTGTTTATGGAAACAGACGTCGACTTGGGTGAATCCCTGAAAAAAAGGTTTTTTAATCCATATAATAAACAAAACAATTCTGACTCATATCGTCAGATATGCCTATTTCAAGTAAAACACCTTGTAAAACATAGTATATAGGGTAGTTTGACTTTAGGCTAATAGGTAAACAAAAGTATTGGCTATACCCTATAAAAACGTAATATACTACAAATATAAAAGGTTTAATATACAATATGAATTATACATATATATCATATATTTTCTTTTTTAAATATATAACTCTATTATAAAATTTCATAAATATGTCGAGACTAAACCATTAATTTACTATTTACATATATTTGAAGCAGGGCATCTCTTATTCATCAACCATTATTCTAAAAAATTTCCAGTTATTCATTTTTAATTTTGTTTTGATTATTATTTTTTTTTAGGCTTTGTTTGCTTGCTTGGTCTGCTAAATTAAAATAGTCTGGTGGAAATGTAATGAAGGTGTTTACATGTGTAAAAATTACGCATACGCAATGGTAGCCACGCTCCAATGAACAAACAATATGCAAAGCAAAACCACAACGATGATGATGAGCAATTGATGCGTAATGGTGAACGATTAGACGACATTTAAAATCGTTTTGTACTCTTAATTATGTTTATTATACAGTCCAATGGCATGGTGCATATATAAAAGAGCCAACGCTGTGAATTTTCGCAAACAGTATTCACGAGAATTTCAGAGGGATTAAGCACGAATAATATTTTAGAAAATATGTCGCATCAACAAATAACCGTCAGTCGCAGTTTTTGGCTATACGTGGCTTTGGTAGCGGCGCTGTTACAGTGCAAACTGGTTTGCTCTCAATACAGTGGATATCCGTACTATGGAATAGGAGGAAGCGCATCGGCTGGCTCGGCTTATGGCATGTTTGGCAATGGCTACGGATATGGATATGGCTATCCGCCGTACTATTCGTATCCCGGCTATGGATACACATACCCTGGCTACGGCTATGGAGGTGGATCCCTAGGCGGAGGCGGTGCATATGGTTATCCAACTTATGGTTATCCGACCTATAACTATGGTGGTTATCCTTATGCAGGCACGAGTAAGTATAGCTTATCTAAGTGAATCAGCGTATGCAGTATTATAAATGTATTAGTGTTTTGGACTTGTTTTTTATTATAGACACGGCTTTTGCAAGTAGCAGTGGAGGATTCGCCAGCGCAAGTGTTGGGAGCGGAGGTGGCTTTTACGGCTAAGACAAAAGCACTGAACAAATATTTAAGCTAATAATTAGTCACAATGTGTACATATTGAATAAGTATTGTACTTTAGTGGATTGTGTTATAGTATTAAATTCATGATTTTTATAAAAAAGAAGAAACAATGAAAAATTCATTTAGCCATTTAAACTAACCACTTATTCCCGCCAAGAGAAAAAAACGATAACAAATGTTAGTGCTGCACAATGTTCGACTATCGTTATTCGAGCAAGCGCCGATTTATCGGTAGCTTTCTATTTATTTCATTTAATTAATTAGTGTTGCCGGAAAACTATTTTTAAAGCTCCCACAGCTAGAATATCTATAAATTATAATAACATTTAATAAATTCTCTCAAATATGTTATTACTGAACTATCGATAAATATCAGCTGTGCAAGATATTAAAATTTAAAAAACACATACATACATACGCACTGTTCTAACGGATGGATACATAGGTAGACCAATAAAGGCCAAACAAATACAAAGACTTCGCGTGCCTTTTGTTCATTACGTTCGCGAAAGCCCACAAAGTAAGCTATAATTGATTGTCTAAATTTGCAAACTAAAATAAACAAATAATATATAAAATAATAGAAAAAATAAAATCTAATTACCAAATATTTATGAATTCAGTCGCAAAAAAAAGTGAATGTGCAAAAACATAACATTGCGTAATGGACCCACATACAACAAAACAAATGCATTTAAATTATTGTAGTATTAACGCGCATGTGTGAGTGTGGGTGTGCGAGAGCGTGTATATGTGACTGTATGTATTATATCTAGCTTGCATCTGAGTATCGTTATAGTTGTGCGCAGGTTTGACTTGGCCTCAAAAACTCGTGACCAATTGTGACAGTACTAACATACATAAATACATACATACATACATATCTATGTGCATATTTGTATGTAAGTAGATGCATGTACTTGAGTTGCCGCCAGTTCCTTGGTAAAAATCAATTAGCCTCCAAAATATTAAGAGCTTATGCACATACACACATACATACTCATGCATATGAAAGTATTAAAAAGTGCTGCTTCATATTTTAATAGACAATACCAGGGTGACTTTTATAAGCTCTCTGCCTCTGCCTCGCGCTCTTGCTCTCCCTCTCCACCTCTTTTCTTTTCATGCACGCTCGTTTTATCCTCGGCATATTAGACCAAGAGCCAACAACAAAAACTATTGACGCATTTCTTTCACTAACCCTCCTCTCGTTCACAAATTTTGGCAATCGGAAATTTCCACAGCCGAAGAACTGAAAAACAGCTGATGTTTGTCAAAAATTGCCGCTTCGTTTAAGGTGTGTGTGTTGTGTGTGCGTGATGTATCGTATGAGCATGAGAGAGTGTTCGTGTGTGTGTGGTTATGTTTGTGCGCATTAAAAGAGCTTCGATAGATACTCTCGAACATTTTACACAACTCACTTGCCCAGTTGGCATTTGCTTGGCACGAGACCTGTAATCGTAAATATACATAAAATTGTAGTTTATTTTATTTTTTTCTGTGTTCTTATTATCTGTTAACATTTGAAGAGGGTGTGTCTCGCGTTTGGCTGCTTATCAAATCAATTCACGTTACGTTTTGCCGGCTGCCGCTAATGCTAGACCCCCAATGAACGAACGGCCAAGGTTGCTGATAAACAGCGATGTGCTGTGTTCTATAAATGGCATTAATAAAATCTGTGTTTGTATGCGTTATTTTCTCGTTATCTCACAGGGCAACGAAATTAGACAAAAAACAAAAACAAAAAAAAAAAAAGAACATTTACATAACAAGTCATAAAACGAGATTGGCCCCCATCATACTCACCTGAACCATTCCCAGCTTCGAGATGTTGCGATTAATGCGTAATCCGGTTGTCAGCTCCGTTAAAAGGTAATCGCCAAAGTAATACCAATTAGCTTACTCAACATACTCATAATTCAAATTTCGTCACAGCCATGTCCGTGAAATTGGCAGCGTGGTCATGCAGCCAAAGCTGAAAGATTTCAGCATCAGCAACGAGCCCATATTGGCCTATAGGAAGGGTTCGCAGGAGCGCGCGGCTTTGAAGGAGGCTCTGAAGACCACGGCGGCAACATGCACTGAGGTGCCCATTGTTATTGGCGGCAAGGAGTACAAGACGGACAAGGTGGTGTATCAAGTGATGCCGCACGACCACGCCCACAAGCTGGCTGCCTTCTACTATGCCGATAAGAAACTGTTGGAGTTGGCCATCAAAACGGCTGTGGAGACGCAGACCAAATGGGATCGTGTGCCGTTGGCCGATCGCTTGGCCATTTGGGAACGGGCCGCCGACCTGATGGCGGGCAAATATCGCCAGGAGCTGAATGCGGCCACCATGTTGGGCCAGGCCAAGACGGTCATCCAAGCCGAAATCGATGCGGCAGCAGAGCTGATTGATTTTATACGGTAAGCACGTAGGGTATATGTTATATAAGCATTTAATTTGAACTCATTTTTAATCCCTAGCATTCACGCCTACTTCCTTAAGGAGTGCGTCAAGTATGAGCCCATCAGCGAGAACCTGAAGGTCACGAAGAACTCTTTGCGTTATCGCGGCATCGATGGCTTCATCGCCGCAGTCAGTCCATTCAACTTTACTGCCATTGGCGGTAATTTGGCCTACACGCCTGCATTGATGGTAAAGACTTAAATTATAGTTTTGACGTCTCGTGTCTCATGTCTAAGCCTAATCTATTTTTATTTTGCCGTAGGGCAACGCTGTGCTGTGGAAACCCTCGGACACGGCCCTGCTGTCCAATTGGCGTATTTTCAACATAATGCGCGAGGCTGGCGTGCCCGATGGGGTTGTCAACTTTGTGCCGGCTGATGGGCCCGTGTTCGGGGACACGATTACCGCCTCACCCCATTTGTCGGGCATCAATTTCACCGGCTCGGTGCCGTAAGTTCAATTCAATTTGGTTTTTTATTTATTTTATTTTGTGTATTATCGATTTTCATAATTGTTTCCGCTTCAGTACATTCCAACGACTATGGAAACAGGTGGGCGACAATCTCCCCAAATATATTAATTTTCCGCGCCTCATTGGCGAATGTGGTGGCAAAAATTTCCACTTTGTGCACGAGTCGGCGGATATTGAGACAGTTGTGACATCCACAATACGCTCGGCCTTCGAGTACAGTGGCCAAAAGTGTTCAGCCTGCTCGCGCATGTATGTGCCCGAGTCCTTATGGCCGCAGGTAAGCATATCATATAGGCTATATGGCCTCTCCAATTGCTGGGTGTGGTATATTATTTTCAATAAATCCACAGATCAAGGAAGGACTCTTGCGCGAGATAAAGCAACTGAAAATCGGTGACGTTCAGGACATGGCCACGTTCACATCGGCTGTCATCGATGACAAAGCATTTAAACGCATTACAGGCTACATTGAGCACGCCAAAAAGAGCTCGAATCTAGAGATCCTTGCCGGCGGCAATTATAGTGATAGCAAGGGTTACTTTATCGATCCAACAATAGTACAAACCAAAGATCCCAAGGATCGGATTATGACTGAGGAGATCTTTGGACCCGTTATCACCATTTATGTATATAAGAATGCTGATTTGATGGAGGCCATGAATCTGGTGCACACCACAACGCAGTTTGCGCTCACTGGCGCCGTTTTCGGACAGGATGAGTAAGTGCTAAGCCTAAGCTGAACGATTGAAGCTCTTCCTCATTAATAATACAACTCAAATTTTACTTTTGCAGAAGCTTTATCAACTGTGCTTTGGAGGAATTCAAAATGGCTGCTGGCAATTTCTATATCAATGACAAGTCCACTGGCTCCGTGGTGGGTCAACAGCCATTTGGCGGTGGCCGCATGTCGGGTACCAATGACAAAGCTGGCGGACCACATTATATACTACGCTGGACGTCCCCGCAATCTATCAAGGAGACGTTTGTGCCGCTGCGCGACATAAACTATCCCTACATGTGCGAATAAGGGATAAGACGGAAGCAAATTAGAAAACGACAGGAATCTCATTTAAAACACTAACTCATATATATGTATATATTTATATAAATATATATATGTATATGCATATATAAAAGAAAAGGGGAATGTATATGTATTTTGTTGAACTATTTTTAACATACGCACCTTCCTAGTTAACCGCTACATTTGTATGTAGTTAAATGTTATATCGAATCTCTGCTGTATTTTAATCGCCTCAAACAAACAACCAACCAAATGCCGAAAGATGTTGTAAATTGATATGCTGATACCATAATAAAATCTCACCCATACACAAACATACTTCTATAATGTAACTCGAATTATAAACTATGTTTTAAATTATAAAGTAAATTTTTAAAACCGATTGTGATTATTTATTAATTATAACTATAATTTCGCCTCAATTGATTTTACTCAGCTTTGTTGTCACAGTCAATGCAATGCAATAAAGTTAAATGTAGTTACTAAAGCTAACAGTATACAATATATACATATGCATACACACATAGATATGTATACTAATTATTGTATATATATGTATATGATGGTATGCGTACACTATACACACAAACTATTTGACAATACCATTTAAATACTGAATGTGAAAATTATGAATATATGAAAAGACGGAGTGAAGTTATATAAACTCAAAATTGAAATTCAGTTAAATAAAAATATGAAATCAAAATTGATTCTCTTTGATTGCAAAGCATTAGGGTAAGTATTACTCTACTACTCGTAAAAGCAATTGGTAATAATTTAATTTTAACCAGGATGTAATATGAAAACCTCTTGAGTTTCAAATTGATCGACATAAAACTCGACGCCAACTCTAATCAAGCTCATTTACGGCCATGCTAGACTAAACCGAATTTTCTTTAGTATCACTACAACTATCGTACATCGTACACACCTTAGGAAACTTAATTTTTTTTTGTATTTTTTTTTTAAACATATATTACATTTTATAAGTATATATATAGTATAATTATTTTGTAATTTTGTAATATGGCTTCTCCGCGTGGTCCCAGTAGTCCTCGTAGTCCACGTCCTTTGACTCGAGTACGCAGCAAAGTTGTCGGATCCCAGACAGAGAACTTACGCGACTTATTTGAGATGATGTATTGCAGTGATAATCGGGAAACAAGTGACGAAGATCTCAAATTTATAAATGAAAGCGTAAATCAAACTAGAAAATCTCAAATTTTCAACTGATAAATTTATTCTTTTTTTCATTTCTATTACAGTTCGATTTATATATGTCGACAGATAAAGATTTCAACCAAGTGGAGACGGCTGAGTTGCATCCCGTTCGTGTATTCATACAAGAACCCAGATCGAAAATTTGCTCATATCTGTATGTGCTAATGGGTTTTACATTATTTACGGGCTTTTTCAGCTGGCTTGCAGATATTCAAACATAGTGTGTTTCATACATTTATTACAAAGAACTCACTTGGTCGGTCATAACAGCTAAATTGTGTGTTGATTAATTGGTGTGACTTAAGTTGTTACAAATAGAGACTTCGAAGCATCAAACCTTTTAACTTAGCTTTAATTTAAGTTCAATGTGTGTGGTTTCTCTATGCACGAATACGATCAGTAAACCAAAGGAAATTGTTTTCTTTTTTATCAAATTTACAAAGTAAAACAATGATTTTGCTTTACAAATTCAATGGGGGGATTATATGAAACAAATTTCCTATTGGTTTACTGAACGTAGGTTCATAGAACATAAGTCAAGTGCATATATTAAAGTAGGTAAACATATTTAAAACTTGACGATATAACTATAATTGAAGTTCTGTTTGATGGGTTGGTTTGGTTTTTTTTACAGACTAATGTTTAAGGTATTATATAATGTATATATAAATGTATTAAAATATTTATATGTATATATGTTATGTGGTAACATAAAACTAGTCGAATTTTATTGAATTAACGCCCGTGTCAATCTGACCGCCCCGATAGCTGCCGCGCTTCTTCTTGGTCTTCTCGTGCTTGAAGGATTTGCCACGTGTGAATTTTAGATCCTTGTTGGCGCGCTCTCCCCAAGAGCCGGCAGCGTTTTTCTATAATTATTTGTACATATATAAATATGTATTTTACATAAAAATGTTTATTACAATATATTGTATACAATATACATATATTATGTTCGGCATGTGCTTGTCTGTATGTGTGTATTTGCATGTATGTGTGTGTCTATTTCATTAAAAAGAAATACTCTGATTTTTATTGAATTGTCCCGGAATTGTGGAAAAATTTTCCACACTTGTTCGGTCCATCTATATAAAGTTATTTCATTTGGGGCTTGATCCCCTCGTGTCGGTCGGTGGCATAAATGACTAAACTACATTACTATGTTAATTATCGAAGGTTATTTTCTTATTTTGTTTTGTCCCCGAATCGAAGGACTTGTTGCCAAACCCGCCACCGCCGCCACGTCCCCCACCACCACGACCGAATCCACCGCGTCCACCACGATCGCCGCCGCCGCCACGGTTGAAACCGCCGCCACCACCGCCGCCGCGGCCGAAGCCACCGCGTCCGCCACGATCGCCGCCGCCGCCGCCACGTTTGAAGCCGCCACGACCACCGCGATCGCCTCCACCGCTGCGATTGAAGCCACCGCCACGGTTACCACCGCGCTGTCCATCAAAGGACTTGCGCTCAAAGCCTCCAAAGCTCTTACGATGACCACCGCCTTCTCCGTCTTCGTCTCCATTTTGATTGTTGCTCTCCCACTTGCTACGATCCGGACGGCCGGCAAAACCAGAGCCGCCACGTCCACGTTGTCCACTATTGAACTTCTTGAAGCCACCGTCATTCTAGAATAAAGCAACACAAAATGGTTAAACACAAATTAGCCAAGCTGGTTGGAAAATGACAAAAACATATTTTCAGTAAAGGAGCCGGCGAATGCCACAAATGATTTGAGATTTGAGTTTGAAAGGCGCTTTAGCTAATTTGTGAGTAACCCCTCTGTCGCTGCTTTATGCACAACCCCAATCAATCGTAAGTCTATCGTCAGTCAAGTTTGTCTGTCCCCAACCCGGACCCACACACTGCAACACACACATACAGCGCGCCACACTCAAATCCATTTGTGGCACTCACCTTCGCCTCAAAGGACATGTCCTGCACGCGCGAATCTATGATCACCTCTTCGGTGCGGACACGCCGGAAAGGCGATGAGCGACGTTTGCCCCCGCTGCTGTTGTTAAACGGATTGTTCTTGTTGTTATTTGTATTGTTGGGCGTGGAGGTGAAGCCATTATACTTCTGCTGCTGCTGCTGCTGCTGCTGCCGCTGATACTGTATATTTGTCAAAGGAGTTTATTAAAAAAAAAAAGTGGAATTTCGAAAGCGGATTCTGTTTGATAAAAAGGACAACTGCTGCTGGTGTTTCGATTTTAACCATGCATATATATATAGGAGAGAAATTTCTAAGAGATGCCCTGAAACTGAGTTATACGTGCCTATTAATGCGGACGACAAATTATAAACTTTTGTAAATATTCGATAAGCGAAATCGCCCTGCGTCATTCAAACTGTCCCGCCTTTACTATCGAATATCATGTACAGGTGTAAAAAATTAAATAAATAAATAAAAAAAAAACTAAACAAATCAAAACTTAACACCGTCGAGTTTCGAGCCCATTCTGAGATATATAGACTGATTTTAATCAATTGCTCATACTCTAACAAATTTTCAATTTATGGATTTCTTCTTGACTTAAATTGTCAATATTCTATACAGCATAACTATCAATGAAACCTGCCTATAATTGGTTTAGTTATGTTTGATATTTCTCGATTATTATATTTTCTATTTTCATTATTATTTTTGTTTTTAATTTATTTATTCTATATTCATTGATTTCTTATTTATTTATTTTATATTCATTTATGTTCTATTTATTTATTTTCTATATAATTTATTTGACTAATATTCATTATTTATCATTTAACTATTCCCTCGGCTCATTGACTGCCTAATTTATTCATATATTAAATCCGTGACCAACTCACCTGCTGTTCACCTGACTTGACGAAATTGTTGTATTTCTTGTTAGGTGTTGCCTCGTCTGCATCGCCGCCGCTGAACTTGCGTTTCTTGCCAGCGGCCCCATTGGTCACAGCTTGTTCTTGTTTCTTGGGCTTCACTTCGCCAGACTCTTCGCTGCTGTCGCTGTCGCTATCGCTGCTCTCCTTTTTGGCCGGCACAGGTTTCTTCTTTGCTGGCGGCTCATCTTCATCGGACGAGGAGCTGTCAGAGCTGTCATCCTTTTTAGCCGCTGGCTTGGCTGCAGGCTTGGCTGCAGGTTTGGCCTCCTCCTCTTCATCGGAATCTTCCTCAGATGAGGATTCTTCCTTCTTGGCTGGTGCAGCGACCTTTTTGACAGCTGGTTTGACTGCAGCGCTTTCATCCTCGGAGCTGCTGTCCTCGGACGAGTCCTCAGATTCAGACTTGGCTGCTGGCTTCTTAGCAGGTGTAACTGCTGGTTTCACCGCTGATTTCTGGGCCGGTTTTTCATCTTCAGATGAGGAATCAGAACTAGAGGAAGCTGCAGCTTTTTGGGCCGGCGCTGCCTTAGTGGGTGGTGCTTTTTTGGCCGGTGCCTCCTCATCAGAGGAATCGTCGCTGCTGTCGGCCTTCTTGGCAGGGGTTGCCTTTGCCGCTGGCTTGGCAGCTTCTTTCTTTTGCTCCTCCTCTGAATCGCTGCTGTCATCGCTACTGGAATCAGCCTTTTTAGCTGCCGGCTTAGCTGCTGCTTGTGCCTTTTTCGGAGGTTCTTCCTCACTTGAGCTATCATCGCTGCTAGATTCGGCTGCCTTTTTGGAAGCTGCGGCTGGCTTTGGGGATGGCTTTGCGGCTGGCTTTGCGGTCTTAGCTGGCTCCTCATCGGACGAGTCATCGCTGCTTGAAGACGCAGCTTTTTTGGCGGTAGGAGTGGTTTTTCCTTTTCCAGCGCCGACAGCCGTAGTTGGCTTCTCTTCTTCATCATCACTGCTAGTATATGAAGGCTTCGCCGCAACAGCCGCCGCAGCTGGCTGCTTAGCTGGTTGCTTTGCTGGCTCTTCATCGGAGCTGTCGTCGCTGGAGGATTCAGCTGCCTTCTTCGCTGGAGATGCCTTTACTGCTGGCTTTACAGCTTCTGCATTCGGCTCCTCATCTTCCGAATCATCTTCACTCGACGAAGAATCATCGTTTTTCCCATTTGTGGGGATATTCACTATCGGCTTCACATTTTGCTTTTTCACATCGCTGTCACTGTCACTGTCCGAGTTTCGGTTTGGTGCAAGTGGAATCTTTCGTGTTTTGCTTTGGTAGAAAGCTAAGATATCTATCAGCCTGGGTGTACTCTTGGGCACAGCTTGCTATAAATGCACAAGATAATTGATTAACAAAACATGTTGGGTTAGGGAAACACGTGCTTTCGGCATGGCGTGCTCCCAAAACTTATTAAAATACGGCCTATACAGGAGAATACTGGGGGTTTATATTTATCAATTTAATTGCCAATCTCGAGGCCTTGAGCGCAAATACAATACAAATTTAATTGAGAATGAAAATATTAAAAAGGCACACACAAATAAAAAGCCGGAAGAACTTACCGCTTTTACTTTCTGCTCAAACACTTTTGCTAGGTTTCTGTCCTTAGTTTTAAGGTACTCATTGACAATAGCATCTGCTACTTTAATTAGTTCAGTCATTTTTTCCTTCGCAAATATTTTCTTTATTTCTCACAAAAATCAAGCAACGACTTACTCGTTGCAGTCACAAAAAAGACATAAATTCTATCAACGCACACACACGTGTTGTTTCGATAAATTTTACACACTCGATAAATATATTGCCATGAGACCTACAGTTGTACAGCACTAGCAAAATATTACGGGGAAAAGTACCATTTCGAACTAGTATTGTGTATGCCACCTTGTCTCGAAAAATTCACAATGCAGTTCATTTACTAAGCGCATGGCCTATGACTAAAATTGATTTGGTAAATAATTTGCAAATTTGCATAGGATTTATACATATTATAATTATATTCATATAATAGAGACGTTGATCTCTGTTTGTTTATAGTTCACTACCAGTTCGATTAAAGTCGCTCCGAATAAATCTTCACATCTCTATTTTTCAACACTGCCTGAAAACAGCTGTTGTTCATTTTGTTTGTTATGAAGCGAATTTTTATAAACTTTGATTTACTGTAATTCGAACGTGTAGACAATAGAACGCATTAATTCAAAATAGCAAGCTGTTAAAGCGAAAAGCTTTTTAGGGTATATGTTAATACTTCAATAATATCCAAAGTGTACTAAATTCAAAATTTACAGTCATGGCCGATGAGCCGTTAATTGCACATACCACACCCCCCGCAACGACAAGCGAACAAACGCCGGATATATTTAAATTGAACAATGATTGTCTGGAATGTATATTCGAGCGTCTGCAAGATCTACGCAGCGAGGTAGCCTTCGCCAGAGTTTGCCAGCGCTTTCAATGGGTATGTCTGAATCGCTGGCGAAGCTCGCACATCTACGACCAGCTCGATATGGAGAAGTGGCGTGAATTACTGCCAAATTATGATGATCTGTGCTATTTCATAAAACAAATGCGTCCCTTCATACGCCACATGACAGTGTCGAGCTGTTTGTGCACTTTGCTGAAAGACCTAGAGGAAATGCAGATTTACGTGCTGCCCAATGTGACCAGTTTCTATTATGATCCGGAAGATGTGGATTGTTATCCATCAGATCGTAGCATATGCAAAATGGCCAAAATGATGCCGAATCTGTTGCGACTGCGTCTAACAACGCCAATACAAGGTCGTTATCTCTCCAATTTTCGCCATCTGCAGGAGCTACATTTGTACGAGGACCAGCATAAGGCATACGAACTGCAGCAGGAATACCTCGACGAGGTCTGCAGGTAAGTGAAAGTGAGATAGACGTAAATATCAATACAAATTATTATTTATTTGATTTATGCAGTCAATTGCCCAATTTGCAAGTGCTGGACATTCGAATGTACGATGTTATAAGCAAACTGCGGCTCAACAATTGCGTCGCCTACCTCAACAATCTCACCATCTTGAAGCTCAATTTGGCCACATTGAAGACAGTCCTCGCCGAGGTGCTAAAGCTGCCGGCGCTCAAGCAGTTGATTGTGCTGCTCGACACAGAGTTTTGTATACCGGTGTCGGCGAGTGTGGATACCTACGACCACAAGATACGAGAAGTGCACGAATTCTATGAGATAATAGAGCGCAAAGCGCCGGATATTATAGGTTTTGCCGTTGACGGTTATTACATGCCTTTGGAGCCCGGCTGGGATGCGGATCTGTCCATTTGGTCACATCAAAAGCTCCAGCGCCTGGCGATTTGTAGCTGGACTCATGCCGTAGATTTTTTGGAGCGTTACACCTGCATGAAAAATCTGCAGTTGCTGTGCCTGCGCAATTGGACCTATTTGTGCGATGATGTTCTGCTGAAATTCATTGAGATGTGTCCAAAGCTGCATCATCTGGATGTGTCCTATTGCCGAGAGCTGACGCCCAATTTTCTACAACGAGCGCTCAATATTCTGAAGAAGCGCGAGCCAAACAAACAAAATAATAAATATTCGCGCACACAACCTCTGCATATATATTTCGTGCTCTGTGGCTTTGAGGACTATGTTGATGTCAAGGTGGGAACTTTTTTAAAATAGCAATTCACATTTATTCAGAAATCAATTTCTTTGCAGGATCTCAAACGCTCACCCGAGTACAAGGACTACATTTTGTTTATGGATGCTTTTCCCGTTAGCTCCGAACGTGGCTTGAGTTTCGTGGATCGCGGCTATCAATTTGATTTTGATTAAAATATTGGGGAATACAATTTGATCTTGTACATAACAAACAACTCATCGGTTTATTGTAAATTCTCTAGACTTGTGACATATATTTAATGTAAATTTATGGTCTTTTGTGTTAAGTGACCGACGGACTAACAACAAATCAATTGCAGGGCACCTTATTAATTATATGTACATAAATATATATGTACAATGCATAGACGTTCACTTGAGTGCAAACATTGATATTTCTGCGTTGTATTATTATTTTTTTTTTTTACTATTAATATTTTTTTTATTCTATTGCAATAAAACTATAAATCAGCAGTTGACCCAATTAACATCTATAGTAGATATTTTCCTCACACAAAATTGATAACTATGTTGATTTCGCGAATTCAAAATTGTCAATTATGATTGTTATGCCTATCGATAGGTACACACATGCAGCTCTGATTGAAATATAAATTTGGCTTTTCACAATACTTCAAATATTTCTATGCCAGTTGTTGTTTTTACTGAAATTATCAAGTTTAAATTAACATGCGCGAAAATCAAATTAAAAGTCCGCCTAGGAACATAGGTTCCTCGAACACCGCCAGTGTCTTAAAATTTATAAACGCTGAGCTAAATACCCCACAAGTAAGCGAAAAATAATGATTTGTCCCTAAATCATAATTAAAGAATTCTGTCTTTCAGAACAAAGTTTTGTTGGGCCTGGGGCTTGCCACAGCTGTTGGCATTATCGGTTATACAACTTATGTGCGCCACAAATACGAGCAGCTCGGTTATTATCTAGCTCTGAAAGAGGATGGCCAAACCGAGTTCATAAAGAAAACATCCAATTGGGAAAAATAATTTGCTGTTCAATGTAAAATTATATTCATCAAAATTAAGGTTACCCTTTAATATCCCCACATTAGATGACTATAGACTATAAATAAGATAATTTAAGAAATACTGGGTATTTCAATTTTGGTTCAGATAGATTGAAGGTATAGCTATATATTCATTATCTCTAATACATATATCTATTTAGCCATAAATATTTAAAATATATCGATAATAGTTCAGTTCCCATTCAAATAGTAACTCACCACATTTCCGATAATTCAATATTAATCGTATGTGCTGCAGCTGAATTGCGTCTATCGATAGTCATCATATAATTATTCTCTTGTTTACTAGAATTGTGCAATGTGCTCCAAAATTGTGGAAATTACAGCAGATCTGTAAATTAGAACAATGAGTGAGAAAGAAACAAAAGCGCCCGGCGAGGGAATACGCTCCATTCGTAGCACTGGCGTTTTCAGGCTAATCAACTTTGAACTTTATACGAAACCGGTATGCACATGATTCTATGTATCCTGAACACTGAAACAATATTTTCCGTTTTATTTTGCAGAATAAAATTATCATGGGCATCGGATTGACTGCAATAGCAGGTGTATTTGGCTATATTGCGTATATGCGGCACAAGTACGAAAATCTTGGCTACTATGTGGCTGTTAAGGAAGATGGACGAGAAGAGTTTGTTAAAAAAAGATCCAATTGGGAAACATAAAAATTGTTTTCTTTTTTGTTGTTGTCTGGAAACTATTTATTAACTGTGTAGCACAATTTCGTACATACATGAGTTTATTGCTATTGTAGTAGTGGTTGCCGAAATATATATTCAAAAAATCACAATAGTAGAAAAATGTTTTTTTTTTATAGATTTTTTTTTTTTTTTTTTTTTTTTTTTTTTTTGTTTAAACTTTGAAAAATTTGCGCACGTAAAGAAAACAGCACTAACATTTCATTATTAAATCAAATACAGGAAGCTCAAAAGTACATAATATGGGGGATACGGCCCAGAAAAACCAAAACTTTTTACTGTTTGGCAGCTGTTTTGCTTATTGCTGTTGTGGTGCGGTTAACTCCTTCAATTGCTTGTTTGCATTGTAATTTGTTGTAGTTGCTATTGTTGCTGTTGTTGTTGTTGTTGCTATTGTTGTATCACACATTTAACAGTTGATGGCATGTAATCATTACTAAACGGACAATTTGAGCGCCTTGAGTTCCTCCAAATACCTTGCCTCCATTTTAATTTTGTTTAACTGATTCAATTCCAGAGTTTCGCCTTGACTTTGTCGCGACTTGAGCTTTTTAATGTCCGATAATTTTTTGGCCACATTACGTATCTTGCGATCCTTGTCGCTATTATTGTTATTGTTGTTGGCATTATTGTTCGGCGGAACATTGCCATTGGCCTGATAATGACGTGGTGTGCCCAGCTCAACCGTGTTTTGCTGCTCCTGCTGTTGATGCTGCTGCTGCTGTTGTTGTGGATGCTGCTGCTGCTGCTGTGGTTGGTATTGCTGATGCTGCCTGGGCTGCGGACGCTGCTTCTGCTGCTGCGCTGGTTTGCGCGGCGATTCACCAACATTTACAGCTGAGCCAGTTGCAATCTCCTGATCTTGCTGTTGCTGCTGCTGGTCCAGACCCTCAACGGGAGCCGCTGCAGTGGCAGCTGCATCTAGTGGTGTGGCATCGCCAGCTTCACGCTTGTTGTTGATGTTATTATTGCCCTTTGCTTTGCTGCCGTTGGTATTTCTCTTCTTATTTTTGCCAACACCTGCAAAGGATGTGAAACAAAATAAAATTAGAATATTGAAGAACATTTGCCAATCATAATATCACTTTAAATGTTCTACAAAACAAAAAACAAAAAAAGAACAAACAAAAAATGACTGACGCCAAATCATTTATGATAAATATTCATCATCATCAAAGGTTTATACATCAGATGTCGAGAAATAATACAATTATTGAAGTTTTTATTTTCTTCTTTAATGCAGATAAAAATCGAAAACTTTCTTAATTTTAAGCGAAAGACTCAAGCTCACCTCGATAGAAAATGATAATGAAACAAGTGAAACAACGAGAGGAAAATTTCAAAGCTTTCCAAGTATTGAGATCTTGAAAATTATAATGCTAAATAGTCGATATTAGTTGGGTTAATTCTATATCTGAATTGGCTATTATCGGACAGTATAGTAAAGTATAGCTGACCCAAAATTATGTTATATCGGTGCAGAATTTATAGTTTTGGGATCGAAATATAACCATTGAAAATGTTTTGGTAGGCAATGTACGTTTTTTACTTACAGCCACGTTCTCTAATATCCTACACACACAATGCATTTTGGTTTTTATTTTGGTATGAGTGGAATGGAATGATGAATCTTTAGAATTTTTAGTAGCGCTTATGTTGGTAGGGTCGGTAGCGTCGATTGGGTCGCGTCGAGCTGGCACTTGAGCTGCTATGGCCGTTGTTGACCATGCTCGTTACCATCTGGCCCTGGCCCTGTTGTTGCTCGCCGGAGCCCTGGCATCGCCGCATTATCGGATTATCCAAGTCATATTGTCTATGCCAAATTTTCCGGCTGCTATTACCTGGTGCTGTTGCTGTTAGTCCCGGCACCGTCTGAGGCTGCGGCAAATATTTTTCCGGATTTTTCCCCTCCTTGAGCAAACGCAAATGGGGCGGTGTGTAGGCCTTCTTGCTGGCCTCCGGCTGACTGGACTTGATGCCCTCATGTTTGGCCTTCGTGATTTTTGGCTCGGCAAATGTGTTATCCGCATACTGCTGCCACTCGATGCCAAGCAACTCCTGACCCTGCGGCCACAGTGTCTCATGCAGCAATGCGCCCGAATAGTGATATACCTTGAATCTGAATACAATGAGTAAATATGAAAATTATCTCTTGAATTAATATTATGATGCCCTCTGTCAGTCACTCACCCGTTGCTAATGCGCAGTCGGGGCGCAGTTGTTGCCGTGACAAACCATTCGCCATTCGGATGCCATTCAAAGTGTGTGGTGTCCGCACACTTTATATTGGCGATCCTCTCCTTCTTGGTAACATCCCACACTTCCACGGCGCCGGGTAGATTGCCAAAGCCGGCGAGCACAATCAGATTGCCAAATGGATTGAAGTAGGCGCAGTTGCGTGGTCCCTCTCCAAAGTCAAAGATAACGTCACACTTTAGATTATAGAGTGCTGCCTTGGATGGCATAAAGCCATAGACGACAACAAATTCATTGGCTTTGGGACTCCATTTCACACAGTGGACGGGGCCCTCCTTCGATAATGGCACAGAGCATGTATCGCCCTTGGTGGCCATAAAATGTACCGCTTGATTGCCATAGTACGAGGCACCACTCTTGTCCACCTCCGTGCTCGTTAGAAGCAGCAGGCCGCTGCCTCGCTTATTCCATAGCATCTCGACGCGATCCGCTTGAAAGAAACTCTTACAGGCAACCGTTTGGTTCTGGCCCAAAGCTGGATACTTGTAGAGCTTACACATGGATGGTGCACCCTTGGCGCCGGGTGTATAGAATGCCAAGTATGGCGGACTATTGCCCGGACCGAGGGATAGCATACCGCCGCGACTGCCGCCAATTTTGCGTGATGCACTGGCAAATCCTTCAGTCGGGCCATTTGCCAAATCATAGAAAAGTGCTTCACCGCCGACGACCAGCGCAAAGATCGATTCATCAGATGACCACGATGGCTGCCAATCCGTTTGATTCTTTTGTACAATGGCAAAGACCTCCTTGCCAGTGGCAATCTCGTAAACAAGCAAATTCGCAGCACCCTCGGGACGATCTTTTGTGATGGCATAATGCTCCCACGTGCACAGATAATTGCCGCGTGGTGAGAACTTGAGATAGAAGGCCTTTGGACGCGGCAACGTGCATTGTACCGGCCAGCAATCAGCGTCGCCGCCAGTGTTGGAAATTGGCACGCGTAGCACCTTCACCTCGGCACCATTCGAGTATGCAAAATACCGACCATCCGGACTGAAGCAGATCGAACGCGAACTTTTCGTCTCCTCTCGCGGCAAATTGGGCTTGTGTTCGTATGGCTGCTTTGCACCAGCTGACGACCACAGCTCAACAGCCACGCTAGAGCGAACTGGAAGGAGATTCGGCGAAAGAAAGGCAAAAGAAAAGAAACACGAATTAGTTACCAACAGACACACACACAAACACATACATATACACGCATATACACGCGGTTAGGGTCGCCGTCATACGAAAGCGCCTCACATATGCTCGAAAGGCAGCCCCGACTAAGGCGAATTATGGCAGTGCATGGCGCAGGTGTTTGGCTAGCAAATGTTATTGCATTTAATTTATATTATTTGCTTTGTATATTTACTTGCAAGGGTAGGAACCACACCGTCCACAGCCGCAGCCATTGTCTTCAATCTCTCACACACACACACACGGTCACTGGCTGCAGTGTTGGTCAACAGTTGTTTGTGTACGCACGGTTGTATTGTGTTGTAATCGATAACGCTAAAGCAACATGCATTGGGCGCGCGTAAAACGAACATCAACCAGACGTATTCAAAAACTGCAACAAAATTTTATGCTCTACGTGAATTTCAAAACATTTTTAGACTAAAGAATTTAGTTATTATCAAACTTCAAGGCAAACTTTGTGCATAGTACACAAATTGTTGTTGTCGACTGAGGCTAAAACGACTTTCTCCCCATGTACCTGTATCACAAATTCTATACGCAACTTTAAAGTTTCCATTTCATTTCTTTTTGTTTTTTGTTTTTTCTCTTTTTGGCAAACTATTACGACAGTTAATATTTAAACTTGTTAAAGCACATATGAAAAACAAAATAAAAGTAACGCACAATTGGCATTGGAACTCGTTCAGTTACTTTCGCTGAAAATTGTGACCAAACAACGGAGCTGCGGCACAGTGGGGCAATCAATAGAAAACCCTGATATATTTCAGAAAGTAATTGAATATGCATTAATGTAAATTTAATTAAATGATAATGAGTAAACATGTAAAAATATATTATAAATGATAATGAGTAAAAATGTAAAAATGTATGATATATATTTTTATGTGGAATGTAAATAATTTACTATTTGCTATAAATGCGTAAGAGCTGCATTCATTCGGTTCCACTGTTTGATCATGATAGATGTCGTTGTCACCTGCGTATGGACAGATAGGCAAATAGACAGGCAGACAGGCAGAAAGGCAGACAGAGAGGCAGACGAGTAACATGTAACGACCACTCATGTTTCAGTTGGACAATGTTTTCATTGTTTCAATTGTTACTATAAATTTTATTTTATTTATAATACGATCGTGCGCCTGGTCAAACGGGCGACTGCGACGACAATTGACTTTAAATTTCTTGCACTTACCAAAGAGAAATGCTAACACAGTCACAACTTTGAAAGTTTTGTAACTGTCAAGAAATATATATATATATGTCTTTTACTCCATCTCTTGATAATAACCATCACAAATTGAAACTAATATAGCTTTGGCAATGCCAACGCCAGCAACGACAACTTTCCCAAAATGAAAAGCGCCTTTAGTATAAACGCGCATCTCGCACTGTCGCACTCAGTCTCTGTGGGGCGACAAGTGCTTACAGAATATGCGATTATGTAATAATATTAATTGTAATTCAATTAAATGCAATTGCTGGCTCAGCCATTTCGCAATGCTTTCGATTTTCATTGATGCAGGTGAAAACTCGGTTGATATCAATTTCTAGGCACTAAGATAATGAACTAACTAACTAACAAACTTTACTAAATTACTTTATAATTTTCTTTTCTTTTAATGAAAATATAAAACTAATAAGAACATTGCTGAATACGCATTTACGGTCAAAGCACTACGAGACCCATTTAAGATCCACCACGCCCTCAAATGGTATATATATTATTTTTGTGCATATCAGTAGAACTTCGACAACAAGAATATACATTTAATTTCCTATTTTTTTCCTATTTTGCCACGCCCTCAAAAGCATCTTTTGTTGATTTTTAACTATCTAGCTTCAATAGGGGCAAAATGGCTTGCACAGACGGACGGACATTACACAAAGTCAATATACTCAATTTATAATAAATATACTATATTTGTATACAAAATCTAATATATATCAAACTAACTTAATTTGTGATTTCTTACTTGTTTCGTAGAACCTATCCCCAATCCTCATATTCACAATCACAATCTCGATTCATTCTCCAGCAGGTGCTGAAGGCGATGAGGGGTGCACAGCAGATGAAAATCAAGCAACAGCCGCATAAAAAAAATCCCAAAATGATGAGACCTATTAGCAAAAGTTTTAAATTACGAGAATCCATTTTTTTAGTTTTTAATTTGAGTAAGACAATTTTGAAATGTATTCAACGTGTAACTGTAAAGTAAAAGCACGTTTTGTTAATTTTCAACATGACTCTCTGGAATACCCATATTTCATCAAAGAGCAAGAAGCCATTAAAAACATATTTGGAATTTTTATTTTTTCAGATAACTAAAAAATTTATAATCGAAATAAAAGCTTGTAACGAAAAATTTTCGAATTGGAAATTAATTGAGTTAGACGATCACGATCTTATCTCATCCCCGACCGCATCCTTTCAGCCTTTTTTGTTTGTGGTCTGTTGTTGGTTTTTCTTTGGCTGTTGCGGATTTTCTCCTTCCTCCTCATCCTCTTGATTTCGGTTCTTACAGCAGACCAGACAGCAGCCCAAGCAAGCCAGACATGGACAACACAATATCAATATCACACAACAGCAACATAGAAATATGAGTAGTACGAAAACCCCAATCACGGCATATATAATATTCCATGACTTCTTCTTTACCGCCATCGATTCCTATTGGCCTGACTCTTCATGAAGCCGAAATTGCGCCCATGAAGCTAACCAAAATGCGCCCAATTCGGTCTATTCAATTTGATTCCAAAATGTATTCCAATAATTTTGTATGCCTAAAAAGTTATCCAAAAACCGAACTATTGATTCCAAAAAAAAATTTAATATAATTTTCGATTATTGAGGCATTGCACACTTTGTTAAAAAAGAGTCTGAATATTTAATTATTATGAGACAGCTGTGGAAGATACATTTTATAATGTTAATTAATTATCAATCATTTTTAATGCTACCTTGAGAGATTCGCCTACAAAACTTTATAAAACTTAAAATAATTTCGAGTTGGAATTTCAAATATATATAATAAATTCAATAATAAAACAATTTAATAAAATGAAATAAGTAAAGCATGTTATAACTACAATAAAATATTTATATAGGTATATATTTTTCTAAAATCTAAAAAATTTAAGCGAACATGCATGTAGATATTTTACAATTCGGCTTCCAATAAATATTTTCTATAATTTATTAATATTTTTAGCGACATTTGTTTATATAAATTACAGTTTTATGGAAATTAAACTGTAGCTTATATAATAAAATTTAATAATTAATATAATACAATTTATGAGCTTCGGATAAGTTGATGAGATTTGAAGGCTGTTAGCTCACAAATTTCTACAAACTTAAAAATTCACTTGATAATATAATTACATATAGATATTATACATATACATAAGTATATACGCACTTTCTGGCAGCCCCCAGTCGAACCCCATTGATGGCATTCGAGGTGTTTGTCATTCGCATTTGCTGCTGCAGTTTTCCGCCGACGCCGACGCCGCAGCGCGCACACATGAGCCGAGGCCAGAGCGTGGCCAATGTTAAGACCCATCCCCGATTCCAGAGTTGGCAACAGGTTACGAGCAATGCGCCGGCGTTGCGGCGCGGTCGCGTCGTCGCAGTGACAGCAACAGCGGCAGCGGCAGCGGCAGAGCAGCCGAGCGACAGCCAAGTGCTTAAGGAATGGTAAACGTTACCTGTGCACCTCAGTCCAAGGTGAGCGCTCGTGCTGTTCGGTTTGGTTTCTTTTGGCTTGGCTACACGCACTCAAATACACACACAGAAACACACATATATATGTGTATGTATATATACATATATATAGAGAGATATAGAGATATATTGCCGCGTTGTTCCACTCCTCCTCACTGAAAGACCAAAGACGGCTGAGCTTGAAATTGAAATTCTTTTGTGTTCCCTGGCCCTGAATCGTGTGCGCTCGCTCTGTTACGTGTTTCGATCAAGTGCGGTGCAGAAAGCAAATAAAATTTGTATACTCAAAAAAAGTTAAAAAAAATAATAAAGAAAACATAAAAAAAAAAAACACCAACAAAAGGAGAAAAAAAACGTTAACAAGAATCATCGCTGCTGCCAAGTACAGCAGGCCAACAAACACACAAACAAACAACCAAACACACAGTTTAAAAATGGAATACCGGTGCTTAAGTAGAAGTTCTGTCAAAGTAAGTGACCCCAATAAGCCAACCAACCAACAAAAAAATCACACCAAGATTTATCTTAGCCTTAATGCTCGACCTGAAGATGCTCTGCAGTTAGCTCAGATCAATTGTGATGTAGGCAACAAAAAATATATATTTGAGATATGAGCTATAAAATATGAGATAAACAAACCCAATTAATTTGTGAGGTATAAGAATATTATATTGCATACAAAATCCTTTGAATTTAGACAGCTTGACTTAAGGATGCGCCTTTAGAAAAAAGTGCTCGGAATTTGTAGTTAAGAGATGAGTATGCTCTTCTGCTTATATAGATGTCATTTTAGAAAGAAATATAATCATTATAAATATGTGAAACAAAAGCAATTCATATTCAACGGAAATTAATGAAAAGTCCTTTAGGCTTACGCTGATGGATCTTAAGATACGCTAAAATAGAGAAAAGTGCTCTGAAATTTGTTGTTAAGATATTTATGGAGAGGCTCACATTGATCGATCTTAGCTTGAGAAAATTTTTGTTATGTAAGTTGTCTATAGATTTTATAGAGAGTTTTAAATAAATGGTATGTCTAATGAGCAAATGAAATGATTATATGTTTGTAAATCTGGATAAAAGAAAATTTAAATAGAGTTTGGTGTTAAGAGAACAAAAATAATATCTGCACATTGTTACTAAGAGAATAAATTCCTGAATTCCTAAATTATCCAAGCAATTTGTTTTTAATCGTTTAAGAACTAATAAACTGTACTCTGTCAATATTTATTTTGAGAAGAATACAAATTAAGATTTCTGTGGATTTTACTGCTCTACTAGAGTATATTCTGTGAGCAGATCTTTGTTCGGAATCTCTAGCTACTGTAATATTCACTTAAATAATATTCTGTTCAAGCCTTTTACATTTTCTCTACTTTAACACGCGTTTACATACGATCTCTTAAATTAGTGTATATAATATATATACTCTATTTATTTACATGCATTATTAAATTAGCTTTTCACTCTCAGCGTGTTTGATGAGCTGCTCCAACTTGTTAATTAGCTTTGTCCATACCATTTGGTTGCTTAACAGAGTACAGGGTATAAAGAGCGACACCAGCCAATGAAGCGCCCACAAGGAAGCTTCGTCTCAGCTAAGCTGAAGCTCTCCAGCTGCTGCTGCTGTTGTCTCTCTGGCTCTGGCTCTGGCTTCGGCACTGACTCTTTGCATTGAACTTGGCATTGTTCTCAGTTCAGTTGGCGCTGTCGTCGTCGTGTCTGTATTCCTTATGACGCTGCAAACCAGTATGCCATTAAACTCTGCACTTATATATATGTACATATATCTAGACATACGAGCGCACATACATGTATATATATTTAAGTGCACTCCTCTGTATGTGTGTGTGTGTGCTGCCCAACCCAACTGACTGCAGAGAGTCGCCCAACCAACGCCTTGGTGGTCCAATAAAGATTAAGTGAATTTTTTGTTTTTGTGGGCTTGGCTGCAGTCGTCTAGTCTGTGGCCCGGACTCGGGCAGGAATTTGCAGCTGGAGCAGAATAGCCAAAGCCACACACACGACCTATTTCTGTGGCCAGCCAATCACTTGCTAAAATTATCACCTTTCTTTGACTTTCTTTTTGCTGCTTCGCGCTGTTCGCGGTCTTAACGAATTTTTAATGAATTTGCCTTGCTTGAATATAACTTTTACTAGCTGCCTGTATTATTTTTTGTTTCTTCTTCTTTTTGCATTTTTTTGTACGTTTTGTAACTCGTGTCACGTTCACAACGTGCATTTATGGCCATTCCATGAATAGATTTTACCACAATTGCCAAATGCGGAAGCGATTCAAAAGAGCTGAAGCTAAGGCTAAGCAGAGTTTTTGGATCTTTTGCTCAAATTGTGACCTAGTACTATGTAAGGAAAATTTATGGGCTTAACAAAAGACATGGTCGAAAAAAAAAAAAAAATATATTAAGAACTGCCAAAGAAATGCAACTAAATGAACAGCTCGGAGCTAATCGTTTTGCTAAGCCAATTGTCATTGGAGNTTTCAGCTTTCTAGCTCTTCAACAAACATGATTTCTGGTATATCGGAAAATGCATTTTCCGATTTGCCACGCCCCTAGTGGGCGGATCGGGAAAATTTTAACACTTTATAAATCGGAGATATACACGAGTATGTGTTCCAAATTTCAAGTCTCTAGCTTCAATAGCGCCGAAATAGATTGCGTTCATACGGACAGACGGACAGACGGACAGACGGACAGACGGACAGACGGACAGACGGACGGACAGCAAGACGGACATTGCACAAAACCAATATACTGATTCACTTTCGTGAATGAGTATAATTATAATTTGTGTTAAAAATATGCTCTACACCACTTCATTCATTTAAATGGATAAACTTTATTTATTACTTTGCTTCATTCACAAATTAAGTGAATAGACTTTACCTCTAGCAAAATAAACAATTTACCTCAATATATGTACATACTCGTGCCTAATACCCACTTTACCCATATCGCATCGCATATCATTTGCCAATCCCATTTGTTTGGACTTAAAACGTGCTCGGTTAGAAGCCGTGCTGAAGATGATTCAAAATAAATTCCCAGACTGATTCAATGAGCCGCTAGCAGTTGGCCCAAAGCAAAATACAAAGTTTGTTGTTGTTGTTGTTGTTCTTTTCATTCGTTTCGTTTTTTTGAAAAGTAGGCTAAACATATTCATACTTTGATTTTTATGGAGTCCCGTGATTGTTTTTTTTCATCTTCTTCTTCTTCTCTTTGGATGGCTGTGCTTCGGGCCGGTCTTTTCATACACACGTACACACACATACATATGTATGTATACATATATGCCCTTCGGAGCGTGAAAATCTCATTCATGCGTGCCTCTGATCTTTGTTGTTCTTGTTCTTCTACCTTGAGTGTGACGAAGATGAACCCAACCTTAAAAAACGATTTGAATATTTGCAAAACGGTGAAGAATTAAAAGAAAAAACTGTAAAACAAAGAAGATAATTCTGTTTCTGGGTCACAATGCTGTCATTGTGTTCATTCTGTGTGCAAATCTATGTGTATATAGTTCCAGTCAGATAGGATAAATACAGAATATTTGTGAAAATTCCCAGTATTTCCAGAAATGTGTGTTAATTGGCATATTTAATGTAGCGCCAAGAACTAACAGTACTTCTAGCTTGCCCCTTAATTGATGAGACGTGTTTGCCTCAAGCATAGCTACACATAAACAGCTTCTGCTTCTTTCTCTTTGACGTAGTGAAATCCAAATTCCTGAACAAAACAAAATTGTAATAATAATGTATAGTAAAATAAAGCGTAATGAGTAAAAGTGTCAGCGACTGTAGCTAATTATTATTATTGTTATTGTTATCATTATTATTTCGGTTCTACTTGGGCACGGCGAAATTTTTGTTTTATTTGCTCTTAACCTCGTTTCCACGCGCGATCGCTAACAGCCGACAGCCGACAGCGGATAGCTGCGGCTGCTTCTTCTTCTTCTTTAGCTGGACAATGGCTAAGATACGCACACTGCATGCGAAGTAGCCCAAAATGAAAGCTGTTGTTGTCATCGTGTGGGAGGCAGCAGAAGGAGTGAGATAGGGAGAGAGAAAGAGAGAGAAACAGCAAACAGCAAGCCGCTGCCATTGCACTTGTCTCTGTCTTTCCCTGTCACACCAATTGCTAGCTGCTTCTAACTGTGCTTACAGCTACGCAGCTGTTGTTGTTGTGGTTGCTGAGTCTGAGAAAACGTGCTTTGCATGCCTGGCGAGCGAAAAAAAAAACCGCATTGAAAGTTTTGTCGCTTGGGGTTATCACGTCAAAGCGTAGAATCTCGTGTTTTTGTCTTGCCAGCTGCAGGTAAACTACAAAAACAACAACAACAACCCAGCCTAATGGGCAAACGGTTAAAAAATGCATAGAAAGGCTGAGAACTGCCCAAGTTGCGAGCACTGCATTTGATTTATCGTCTCTGTAATCGATTAAAGTGTTGGGCAGCCTGTTTGATGGAATCTGTGTTAGTAATTCATCGATCCTGCACGAGTTGTTTTGGTCAGAAAACAACAAAGGCCTTGAAAACTGTGCCATGCTAGACAAAACAAACAAATAGCAATTTATTTCATTTTAAAGAGACTTCCATTGAGAACATGGAATGGAGCAGCTGCTGGCAGCGCTTATCAATAAACCAGTTTCAAGTTGTTTGCTATTTGTTTGCTGTCAGTAATCTGTCGTCGCCCCATTGCTCTGGCTATGCTATGCTTTCAAGAGCCAATTTTCACTACAGCGCTATGAAGCTTAGAGCCAGAGCAGAGCGCCTCATATTCTTGTCTGGGGCAATTTGTGCTTTGTGTTAGAAATAAATATTATTTATTAAATGTTTATGCTTTTCCAAAAGCTTGCAGCTAATAGGCGAAGATCCCAAGCGTGCGACATGTGAGTGAGTGATTGAGCCATACAGAGAGAAGAGCGAGAGAGAGAGACAGATGAATGTAGGTCGTTAACCTCAATATAACGGCACCTTATATGTACGTATGTAAGAGCTCTCATACGTATAGGATGTTTGTATGTGTATGCACGTGTGTGTGTGTGTGTATGTGTGTTTGCATGTGTGTGCTCTTGATAGTTTTTGCTGTTTCTTTTGCTGTAGTTTTAATTCTTATTCTTTCTAGCCTGCCAGCCTGCTCGCCTTGTCTTTGCTTTTTATTTGTTATTATGCGTTAAGTCACCAACAACAACAATAGCAAAACATTTAGTGCGTTGCCGCTGCTACTTTGAAAATATTATTGTAGTTTTTGCTGTTGTTATGTAACCGTCGCTAATGACTGCGCATTAGTCCGAAATGTTGAAATTGTCGCCGTGAGCGCCTTCAATGGGTTTTTGATTAATGCATGATTTTACAATTTCTAACCCAATTATAGCTGAAGCGAGATGGACTGAAAAAAGCAGCTTATCATAATTATTATAATTATTTGCATGTTTTTTTTCTCCTCTCGTCTCCTCTCATTTTTTTTTTTTGTCCAGTCATTGGCGCGACAATTTCAATGAACTCCAAATATGACAGTTACAAAAAAAGAAACAAGAAAAATAAAAACTAAATAAGAGCTGCCACTCATCGGAGCTCCTTTCTTTTCCCAAAGCTGGCAACGCGATGGCCATCGAATGAAATGCCCATGCGATTGCCTAAATGTGAAATTAGTTTAATTTAGAGGCGGGACTAGGTATGTGTTTATTATGATTATTAAACGAAATTGTTAGGGGACCGTCGTCCGTCTGTCCACTCTTCGCTCGAAAAACAGAAAGTTTAAAACCGGCATTGACAATGGCGCCTTTAATGACAGAATTTGACAAAAGGGCCAGAGACCCAGAGTTCAGGTGAGAGTGCTGTAAAACCTGTGCAACAGCAACGGGAACAACAACAATAGATGCGACGACTTCATTAATTTCTTGTAATGAATGTGAAAAGAATTAAATAATAGAATTTCGCTTTCGTTTACTTCCCACCACGCGAAGAGACACACGCAATGGGCTTTATAATGAATCAAGCCAAAAGCATTTCGTCAAATGTGCAATTGAAAAGAAAGTTTAGTTTTATTTTGTTTTTCTTTGTAATTTTATTATTATTATTATTTTTTTTTTGGTATGTGTGCTTTCGCACGCAATAGAAATCCAAAGCAAGCCGACGATCACATATCATAAAAGCCATGTTTTAAATCAATTTAAAAATACCTTCGCATTGACATTGCAATTATTCGCATATAAAAATAAACATCAATTGTAGCCGAGGACAATGCACGTTACAACGGCGATAGTCGATTGCCGATGTTCGATTGTCGGCTTGAGCTTATTATCTTCTTTTTTCCAGCGTAACATACGTGAAATGATTTCTCAGCAGGCAGCTCATTTCATTTTTTTTTTTTTTTAGTTAAAAGCAAATTATGTACTGCTGCAATTTGATTCAATGGAAACTGGTTTTTCGGCAGTGGCCTCTTGGCTTTT